TTACTCACAGTTGTGGAGGCTAGAAAGCCAAGATCAAGGTGTAACAGGACTGGCTTCTTCTGCAAGATGTCTCCTAGGTTTATAGACGGCCACCTTCTATGTCTTCACATGATCTCCTCTCAGCGTTTATGTGTATCCTAACTCCTCTTCCTATAAGAGCATCAGTCATATTAGGTCAGGGCCCACCCCCATGACCTCCTTTAACCTTAATTACCTCTTTACAGACTCTGTCTCCGGGGCACCTGGGTGGCTCAGTCGGTTGAGCATCAGACTCTTGATTTCCACTCAGGTCATGATCTCACGGTTCGTGAGATCGAGCCCCACAACAGGCTCTGCGCTGACAGTGTGGAACCTGCTTGGGATCCTCTCTCTGTCCCTCCCCTGCTTGTGCTTTCTCTCTCTCTGTCAAAATAAATAAACATTAAAAAAAAAAAGTCTCCGTCTTCAAATGGATTCCAATTCTGAGGTACCAGGATTCGTACTTCAACATACACATTTGGGGAGGAGGACACATTCCAGCCCATAACAGGGCCCTTTATCGGGATGAGGATTTTTTTTTTTCTATTTCCAGCTTGTTGAGAACTTTCACAAGGAATTGGTTTGGGATTTTATCAGATACTTTTTCTGTGTCTTTGGGGTGATTGTGTGGGTTTTGCCCTTTGTTCTATTACATTACCTGACTTTCCTTTTTTAAATGTTTATTTGTTTTTTAGAGAGAGACAGAGCGTGAGCAGGGAAAGGGCAGAGAGAGAGACAAATACAGAATCCGAAACAGGCTCCAGGCTCTGAGCTGTCAGCACAGAGCCTCACACAGGGCTCGAACTCATGAATGGTGAGATCATGACCTGAGCCGAAGTCAGACTCTTAACTGACTGAGCCACCCAGGCACCCCATATTAACTGACTTTTGTTAATGCTCAACCAACCTTGCATTCCTGGAGTAAATCCTACCTGGTCATGGTGTTGAATCCTTTTTCTATGTTACTAGGTAAGTAATATTTTGTAGAGGACTTTTGGGTCAGTATTCATGCCATATTCATGATACTGATCAATAGTTTTATTTTCTTGTGACATCTTTGTCTTGTTCTGATATCAGTGTGGTGCCAACCTTACAGAATGAGTTGGGAAATGCTCCTCCATTTGTGCTTTCTGAAACGTTTATGTGTGATTGGTATTACTCCTTCCTTAAATATTTGATGGGATTCAGCAGTGAAGTTGTTTGCACCTAAACTTCTCTTTGTGAGAAGATTTTTGCTTACTCATTCGATGCCTTCCATTGTGATTGGCCTATTCACATTTCTTATTCTTCGTGAGTCAACTTTAGTAATTTGTCTTTCTAGGGATTTTTCCATTGTACTTACATTGTCTATTTTATTGACATAAAGTTGTTCTTAATCTTCCCTTACAAGTTTTTTTATTTCTGCTGTATCAGTTGTTATGATGTCTCCCTCCTGAATTGGGTTATTTTGTCTTTTCTTTCTTTCGTTTCTTTTTTTCTTTCTTTTGGTTACTAAAAGAAAATTTAAATTGTACAGTCACGTTGATAGCGACTTGTATTAATAATCAATTTCCTTTTGATTTACTTTATTTTTTTAGAGGGAGGGGAAGGGGCAGAGGGAGAGGAAGAGTGAGGTAGAGAATCTTAAGCAGGCTCTACACCCACCACAGAGACTGACACAGGGCTTGATCTCACCCCATGAAATCATGACCTGAGCCGAAATCTAGAGTGGGACGCTTAACCGACTGAGGCACCCAGATGCCCCAACAGCAACTTTATTCATAATAAACAGAAGCTTAAAACACCCCAAGTGCCCATCAATAAGAGAATGAAAATCCAATGAAATACTACCAGCCAAACAAACAACAAAGCAACCTACTGATACAGACCACAACACGGGTGAATCTCATAGACCTGGAGAGCAGAGGAACCTAGGCCTTGAAGGGTGCGTATCCTAGGACTTGGTTTACATGGAATTCAGAACAATAAAACTAATCTTGGTGGTAGAAATCAGACTAGAAGATGCTTACTGGGACAATCTGCCAGGCAAGAAAGGAGGTGCCCACCCCAAATATTCAGCAGGCTCCTGTAAAAAGCCTGGACCCAGAACTAAATGTCACGTAAACCAAAGCACAAGGCCTGCTTAACACCATTGGACACTGACACCCAGGAGTGGAAGTGACAATCCCAGGGTCACACAGGGTATCTCAGAACCCAGGCAGTCAGAAGTCTGGTGTTTTATCACCTTAGCTCCTCCTCTTCTAGCTCCTGAAGCTAGGCTCGCCCTGGCCTCCATTTGCAGTGGGCCAGGGCCCCTCAAAAGTCACTGCCCCCCGGGCCTCAAAATATATTTTCCGACCTGTCCCAAGTGCCGGGCATCGTGCTACACAGGAGAACCGCCACATTTATCTCTTAAGCCCAGGAGCAAGAATTGGGTTTTGTTACCCGGCATAGAGCAGGGCTGTGGGAATTTTGGGGAACTCAAAAGGCCACGGTGTAAATTAAACCAGATTTGCACCGGTGTCCAGGAATGTGAAGACAGAAACCCCGGATTAGCTGGGACCCTCCACGTGTTTGCCAGGTGACCTGGGGCAAGTCCCTCAGACACACGGAGCCTGGCTTCCTCATCTACAAGACGGGTGACTGCTGCGCGGTGCTGTTGCGACAATTAAGGGAACTCACGTGTATGAACGTGCTTTGTAAGCTCTACAGAAAGAGGTCACTACACTATTGTTAAACATTGCTAGGATCCAGACACGATGACTCTGAGGTTGTCTGGCCATCCGTTTAGGGAGGAGACAGTCAAGGCCCGGGTAGTCTGTCGGGGGCGGGGATACACAACCCCAGGCCAGCTTACGGGCCCTTGTGCCTGGCCCTGCCCCCACCCCCCATGAAGACAATACACGTTTCATCAGTGCTTCTCCCCAGAAACCCAAGCCCACTTGGGTCTCAGCAGAGTTCGCCAAAAGTGGACACCTGGCTCTGAGAAGGTGCTGGCCTAGAGGTCAGAGGTCACACAGACTCCAGAAGGAGGAAGTAGTTGGCTTCCAAGGCTATCCTCTGCGGTGGCGGAATAAACTTTGCTCTCCCCTGAGAGGGATATGGGCATTTGGGTAGGGCCTGCAGGATAGCCTCGTCTTTTCTAAGAAATGTGGGCCACGGTGCGGATCTGTTTCAATTTATCCTGGTGGGACTGTGTAGGCCTCGGCTAGGCCCCAAAGCATCACGGTGATTTGCTGCCCTCCTGCTACACTGCCTGTTTGTCTAGAGCCTGACTTGTTCCCAGCAGGACTCCAGTCAGCCAAGGGCATCACGTGGTCTCCTCTGCTTG